TGTGTCAGCATTCAGTGTGTCACTCTTCACCTTTATTCCAGCTTCCATTCTTTTCAGAAGACTCACTTTCAGTTTCTCAAAGAATCTGCAGACACACCTCCAAAGTTCAGTCTTAGAAGTTGGTTGATTATTTTCTGAAGTAATCAAACACATTCAGTGGTGTTGAGGTCTGGACTCTGGGCTGGTCAGTCCATTGTTCGGCTTCTTTGATGTGTCCGTCTCCTTTACTCAGTGAGGTTCTTCTTGTCAGCTACACATCCTTTCAGATCCACATTTTCACTCTGTAGCTTGTAATCTCTGGGGTATTGTAGGGGGCGTCTAGCAGCAGCAGCGGTATCTGTGAGAGCGCATGCACCATTTAGCTGCATGGCTGTACACCTGTGTGTGTGTGTGTGTGTGTGTATATATGTGTGTGTGTGTGTGTGTGTGTGTTATACTGTTTTAAGCACATATTATATTCCCTCTTTCACTTAGTGTCAGATAATCTATCTATCTTAGAGTTAATCTATAATGTATGTGGCCTTGTTTTTATATCTTTGTGGGGACTAGAATGATGAAAACTTGAATGTTGTGTGGTTGTGGGGGCCTCTCCACAGGGAAAAATGCATTATTCCCCCTACAAAACTGCAGCATTTAGAAAAAGAGAAAAACTAAAAGAGGCCAAAGTTGATCTTTTGCTTGCTGAGGTTACAGAAGATTATGAAAACAGCACACACAGGCCAGCACGCATTAGCGCAGGCGCATTGCTGCAGAGCCCACTGAAGCACATGGGCATTAGCATGATCCTCCTGCACCGCCGCTGCTGCTGCACTGCTGTTCATTCATCAGATTAGCTGCGGCTGTGCCTGCCCGCAGGAAGGCTGTGCGGCCGTGTCTGGACATTTTTCACTCTCATGTTTGTGTTGCATTTCATCAAGGGCTTCTATAAACACTGTCTGACTGGTGGTGGATTATTTTTTGTCATTTTGTTTCTATGCAACGTCGTCACATTTAATTGCATGCAGTCCTGATGCAGAGGAGGGACTATGCGCATGCAGGACAAGCAGCACTGATGGAGCTTTCCTGAGGAGTGGAATATTACAGAAATTGGCATTTTTCATCCCTGTACGTCTTGTGACTTTCATAAATGCTCACAAATGTGCTGTGCAGCCTGTGAGGAGAGGAAGCACTGCTCAGCACAACTGCAGTGAGTAGCTACCTAATAAATAAATAAGAGCCTATTCTATTTGAATAGTACTGCTTAATACATAGGCTGTTTATCTATTGCAGACTCAGACATATTTGTATGAAAGGCTTTGCAGTGATGAGAATACATCAGTTAATGCTTGCCAGGTATGTTAGACATGACAAAAAGACATGAGTTTATTGAATTGCATTGTTGTATGGAAAAATTAATACATCAAACACTCAGCAATATGACTTATTAGAAAATTAGCTACCATTAATAATAATTGTATTGTTTATTTGATTTTCTTATTATTACTTTACAAGAGCTGTTGGTCTGAATATTATGGGGAACACTGTGTCCAGTTGTAGTTGCTCTCTGCCCCTAAAGGCAGGTCGGCACCTTGCAGCCTTTTTACTGGAATCTTTTTTTTGCCCACAAAACTGTTTTTTTTTTTTCAGCAATAGATTTTATAAACAGAACACTGATAATTTATTCATTGTGAATATTATACTGAAGAATTATATCCTGGATAAAAAAAAGACACCTCTAATAATGTTAACTATTATTGATTAATACTATAGCAATTAATCACTTATTACTTCATTAATTACTCAAATTAATTACTCATTTGCGTAAGTTTAAATCAAAGACGCCCATCTGCCTTTTAAATTCTAGTCCAAACTATTTAAATTAATTTTCACTACATTAATAATATTGATTTATGGTGGAATGTTTTGAATTTGCCGCCATAATCCCTTCGTCACGGCAGCCCTTCCAGTTCGTGAATGACTGACGCAACTGCTCAGTCCACGTTGGCATGACTACCGGCGATTTGCATGCCCCGCCTACATTTCCACTGCTAGCTTTAGAACGCCCCGCCCTCCGCAGCTAAAACCGTATGAATATTCCAAGTAGGTATTCAGTTTTACAGCGAGAACTCCCCGCCCACAGCTAAACTAATATGAATACTTGCTCAGGCTGCAACGAGACGAACGCCCCGCCTCCAATGGCTTCTCATCGGCATGCCCCGCCCACACCGCATAGCTACAATAATGTGAATGGCGATTTGAATTTGAATAGTCTATCAAGAGCCTCGCTGAGCGGAGGAGCGCGGACAGGTTCGGTTCGCAGAAAATCACAAATGACACGGACGAGAATAGTAAGTTAGCATATAAACGTTATTTTTCATGTTCGTGGTCTTATCTAACGACCTGTGTTCCATTTGTGTGGCTTTTTTGGGCATATAAATGTGAGGGGCAGGATCCGTTGTCTGAGCTAGCCGTTAGCACAGGTTGCTAACAACGGGCTTCTTTTGTTCGGCTCCTTTTTTTCCCCCAGCCAAACACAAAGAGTACGGTTAAACGATCCCAAAATTACATTATTACTAACTAACGACTGTCGTGTTTCACTATAAATCGACCATTTGTAATCGTAACGACGTATAACTGTGTTATTAGTTGACGTTTTAGCGAAATTCCCCGGTTTTTCCTCTCGCTGGCCGTGTAACTACGGTCGAGGCTGAAATCGGCTTCTTATTCGCCAGCTTCTCGTTCGAATTCTCCCGTTCCACCTTAAATGGAGCAGCAATTACATTCAGGTGACTGAGGCGCCGGAATATAGCTGCTGCACTATTTAAGGTGGAACGGGAAAATTCGAACAAGAAGCTGGCGAATCGTTAGCTAACTATGGCGACTGTGCGGACACAAAACAGACTAAAGACTAAAACGGGAATAACTTGGGTTCGTTTTTTTTACATAAACTCATTTTTGCTGTTTATTAATCGTTTTTTATATCGGAATGGTTTATTCTTGGACAAAAAAACAAGTCCAGCCGGCTGGCTAACCGTATCTGTCTTAATGGCAATAGCTTGTAAAACGGCTTCCTGCATATTAACTCTTCTAGCTAACGTTCTTTCAGACATTTTCTTATTTTCCGACCCTTTCTCCCTTTTCACCTTGTTAGTAACGTTAAACTTGGGCGTAGTATTAATGAACCTCCTCGAAACGGCACCGCTGTAGTTACTTTATCACGAAGTTGAACTTATATGTTTAATTATTTACTCATTGTCCGGTTTTAACTAAGCCCTTTAAACCTGTTTGTGTTTCCAGCTCTGTTATAGAGGCACCAAACCTGGCAGAGTTATTAGATAGGCAGCTATGGCTAAATGGTTGAGCTGGCATGTTGGTTGGTCTTATGACTTGGCCGGCTAAGCTGCTTTGGCAGAGCTGAAGCTGTGGCTCATTGTGTGAGTTAATGTAAACCTGTAAAGCTTACGGTTATCTCCGGCCACCTGTTATATATGCCACTTTCACAGCAGTCAGTGTGATATTAAATGGACATGTGGCTCGTAATCTTCACGCTTTCTCCAACAAAATGGTCTCTACTATGGTGCTCTACTATTTCCGTCCTGAAGAGGTGCAACGTGGCTGAGTTACTCACCAGCACCAGCTTGGGTTAGGACCTGGTTTATAAAAACATAATGAATAATATTAATAGTACACTTATTTTTGTTTATAGAGTACTTTGTATACCGGTGGCAGCTCCAGGTGCTTTACAGACAGTAATAGAAGAAACTAAAATATTAATTTAGTCATATAAGACAATTACATAGATTCAGTTAAAAAGATAAACACCTAAGAGATGTGGGTGTTATGTTAAGGATGTTATGGTGTCAAGCTTGTAACAGTAGCGGAGCCCTTTTTGATGCTATATAGAACCAGTTCCAAAACGTACAACACATTCTCCATCAGTCTAAAGAATCATTTCAACATGCAGAGAACCATTTAAGCATGCAGAAGCTTTGACTGCTCGTAGTGTTTTTGCAACATGTATTGAGCATGTATTTTCATATCTTGGAATTGGATGAAAATATTTGCAAATAAATGCAATATTTATTCAAAATCAGGGCTACCTGGGGCAAAATGGCCTCATATGGATGAGAGTGCTTGTGCAGCCCACCAGAGGATTTGTATTAGGAAATAGTTATGATTAACCCACGGATACAAACCATCATGGAAATAACCAGGAATTGAAGTTAGTTTATAAGTTTAGATTTGTCTAGACAAGAAATGACGTCCTGTTGGGGGGGGGTATTTGTGTTCTGGTCATTCTCATCACAGTAGCAAGAGCTGGTTGGGATTTATACACATACACACACTCTCATGGAAACAGCCTGGAATCTGAGTTATTTTACAGCCGTGTGAATCCTTCTGTCTTTCTTAAATGTTAAAGGGCTCATAATGTGGAAAACTGAATTTTCCTTGCTTTCTTGAATTAAGAGTTTGAGGTACTGCATATAACCACATGTAAACTTACCATTTACTCCCGTATATATATATATATATATATATGTATGTGTGTGTGTGTGTGTGTGTGTGTGTGTAAACTAAACTGCAAGAACTGTCTGTTTTAAATATATTGTTTTTGTCACAAAAACAGCACATCCATGTATTTAGCCTACAGCAGTTTAGCTCTGCCCACTCACGCTGAAGTTATAAGGAGTGTTTCAGCTCTAACTGCTTAATAATGAGTTATACAGAGCAGCCAATCAGAACTGAGGTCGTTCTAGTATCTTAAAGGCACAGTAACAAAAACAGTTTAGTATAGATTAGTAATAGTAATAGGTTCTATATAGCACCAGAAAGGGTTCTACTACTGTATTGTATTGTGCCTGCTCACAACCCTGAATCATTGCTGTAAAGATATTTACAGTGATTAATTAATAAAAATGAGTGTATTGGTAGTTATTTGAAAGGGATTTTAGTAGTTTTTCTAACAGAATTGCAAAGGTACTTGAACAAATTTTCTTTCTGCTCTGCTTGTTGTGTTGCAGGAAACCTTGATGTAAAATGGAGGATAGTTTTGATTGCGACTGCGGTGAGCTTGAGCCACCTGATCACTGACGGAGAGCGATCCTGCTGAAGTCGGCTAACTTTCCTGTTTTTGGACAGCCGCTTTGGAACAGGAGACGAGAAAGGCAAAAAAGGCTAGCCTAGTTAAACTAAACGTGTTGTGCTTAATTAGCACGTTAGGATAATGCTGCTGCTCAGGACGAGTCATACACTGAATGTATCAGCACTGTAAGGATGCTAGTGCTGGTCGACACTTTATTATTTCATTTACTCACAGAGATTATTGTTTAGCCCCCTCAAGTCCATTCCAATATAGGCTGTTAAATTAACATTTTGAGGAAGGAAAGCAAGTTTGAAAAGGAAGCCCCTTTGTTTTAGAAGAAAAGACAGGCCCAAAAAGTTTTTATTCTTTTTGTTTTGTTTTTTTTTTTAAATGGTGATACATTCTGTTAACATATCATAGTCCTTTTGCTGCTTTGCTGTGAGAAGGCTGTGAGGGGGGAGCACTAAAGCGCTCAACAGCGTGTGCCTCCTTTGCTTTCAAACAAAGAATTTGCAGGTAGTTATTAGGATTTTTCATTTTTTTCAAAAGGCAGAACAGAAGGGTTATCCCTCTGTGTAGCGCTCATCAGTCACAAACAGGGCAAAAAAACGGTGCCCTCAACATATCAAAAAGTAAATCAGTTAGTCCGTTATAACCGTGGCCAGTGGTGGTGCCGTTTCACAGAATCTAAGCAGATATTTCCAATCGAGAATGGCGGAGAAGTTCGAAAGCCTCATGAACATTCACGGGTTTGACCTCGGCCCTCGTTACATGGACTTGAAGCCGCTGGGCTACGGAGGCAACGGCCTGGTGTTTTCCGCTGTGGACACGGACTGCGACAAGCGAGTGGCCGTGAAAAAAATCATCCTGACGGACCCTCAGAGCGTCAAGCATGCGCTTCGCGAGATCAAGATCATCCGGCGGCTTGACCATGACAACATCGTCAAAGTGTTCGAGACGCTAGGCCCCAGCGGCCGACGGCTGACTGAGGACGTGACCTCGCTGACCGAGGTCAACTCCGTCTACATTGTGCAGGAGTACATGGAGACGGACTTGTGCAAGGTTCTGGAGCAGGGCCTGCTCTCCGAGGGCCATGCACGCCTCTTCATGTATCAGCTGCTCCGCGGCCTCAAATACATCCACTCGGCCAATGTCCTGCACCGAGACCTCAAACCCGCCAATCTGTTTGTCAACACGGAGGACCTGGTGCTCAAAATCGGAGATTTCGGCCTGGCCCGCATCATGGACCCCCACTACTCGCACAAGGTAAGCATTTGTTTTGAGTTTGTCATTTTTTACCATTTTTTGTTTTTCCGTAGAATTTATTATAATAAATTATGGAAAAAATGGTTATTGGTTACTTTTTTGTATTTTGATGACTGAAAGAATTAGGACTAGGAATGGTTCGGGGAAAAAGCAAATTTAAGACATGTTCAAGACAACTTGAAACTTGACCTACAAGGCTAATATTGCTAACAAGCACTAGAACTCAGTAGTCAACCAAAACACTTCTGTAAATACATCCCCAAAACTTCTGTCAACCAGCTCAAACTGCATCCAGGTCTTCAGTAAAGTCACACGGGCTTGTTGATGTGGTTTAAGACTTCATTTTTAGAATTTAAAGTAACAAAACTCCAGGCAGACAACAGGGTCTGTATTCACAAACCACCTCAAGAGTCTGAGTGCCGATCTAGAATGAATTATATGGATGAATCTGATCCAAGATCAGTCCTGCTTTGTAAGTACCGCCTGTAACGGTGAAGTTTTATTCATTTTTATAGCTCACAGTAAGTCATACTGTGTCCTAAACTGCAACCTGGATTTGGTTTAGTGCTGGCAGAATTACTCCTTTAAACACGTAACAGCTACCCAGACTCCCACCAGTAAACAACTAGTTTATATCCAGGTTGCAGCTGAAGTTTAAAATACCGACTTGAAAATAAGTTGAGGTAAAATTAAACATAGAATGTAAAATTAGCAAGCTGAAATCTATAGGCTAAGACCAGCACAGCCTGGTTGTGAATTATGCCTTTTTTACAGTAAAACTCATGTTATGTAGCCTCAGCTTAAAGCAGAGATGCCTAAATTAATGCAGTTTCTGATTGCTGGGTCAGTTTGCTGGACATGCTGACTCAAAAACACTAAATGTGAAGCAAATCTAGAGGAGACCTTTTGATTTCACTTTTAATTTTTACTTGGCATAAGCCGAGTCTTGCAAGCTGCTGTTTGCTCTTGTGGAGGTTTGTGTTTGTGGGTGAAAATGGGTGTGAGAGAGGAAGTCAACAAGGCTTGTGAACAGCGTTGAAGTTCCTGAAATAATGCCTCTGCTTCCTGTGAGCTCAGTCCCACCCTCTGACCATGCAGTCCTTACGCTGGAGGTGAAGGATGCTGCACAAGGAAACGGCTTATTGCAAAAGGAAGCTTGTTTTGTAACTCCTTATCAGAAATGAGAGCACAGTAGGTATTTCACAAAGCAGGATTATTCAGTTTAGCTGACTAACTTTAGCCTAAAGTGAGAAATTGTCCAGTAGAAATAGTCCTTGGCTCTTGTCCTGGTGGACAGTTTAGACTTTTGGTGTTAAGGACTCCCCCAGCAACACCAATGGCCTCATCTTTTTTCCAGCTGGCATTTGGTCAGATGTTATGGACAACAATTTAGACATGTGTGGTGGTGCTTAGTAATGATGTATCTAATCTTCTATCTTTTGTGAAAATGAGTCAGTGCTCAAAACTAATCATCTGGGTGCAGCCTGTCAGAGTAAATAGGCAGAGAGGGGTTGGAGCTTATGCCACACACGCACTTGTGCTCGAATTAAGTGACTTAAATTATAGGGGTCCTAATTTTTGAAAGTTTTTTTTTTATCGGAAAAAGAATCAAAATTGATATAGTGTCTAATCTTCCGGCGATTATTCAGAATATCTATATATTAAATTCTTCAGATATCAATATCAAACAAAGTCATTCAGAGTTCATTGCTTTTAAAGGTACCTCTTAAAAAAAAGTTATTATATGAAATAGTTTTGAGAAAATTTTGGCTTACATTTTTTTTATCCAGTCATTGCAGAAAAGTATGTGTAGAGCGTTGTGGAGCAAAATAGTTCCCTATGAAAACTTACTTTTTCACTATTTTCCCATCATAAACATCCCATATAAAACTTAGAAGACATGTATAGGTTCACTGGTGGTTTTGGATAGTAAATAAAATATTCCTATCACCACCACTGTAAAGAAATCTGAACCATTTCACACAAAACCACTCTGAATGAATTAATTATGCAGAAAATTTTGAAAAATTGGTTTAGTGCATCTTTAAGATGTGTATTGCTGCATCCTTGTACTTAAAGAATAGTAAACATAGCTAGAAGGGAAAATGTGTAAACAAAGGTGTTGAGTGTTAAATGGCTGATAAGACGTGCTATGTTATCCCAGCTGGTTGTGATGGTGATGCTAGGCCGTTGCTATGGTATCCCAGGTGGTTGCTAATGTCTGTGAATATATTTGTGCTGTATGCATATTCGTATGTATGCATGGTCTATGAGGTGTCCTTTCTCCTTATCCTGAGATGTGATGTGATGTCATTTGTGCGAGTTAGATTAGTTTTCTCAACAGTTTATAAAATGTAGTTGGTTTTGTGAAACTTAATGACTAAAAACATAATAGAAGTACTTTAGCACAGCTGCATTTATTTCAGCACCTACCCACTGGCTTCCATTTTAAGTGTGATTTAAGTTTGCTAGCTTTCTGTTCTCTTCTGTGTTCAAGGAAATGACTGTCTACAGATGCAGCCTATAGAGATTAGGTTGAAGAATGTTGGAGTTTGTCCGCTCAGAAATCCTCCCAGACTTCATTCACTCTTTGAATACTGCTTCTGTCTCTATAATCTGTGTGTGCTTCTCAGCATTGCGTGTTTATTAAATTTTTTTTTTCTTTTTTCTGCTGTTTTTCATTCAGCGTGACGTGACTAAGCTTAGGAAAGTAGGTTGCTGGAGGTTTTTCCTGACAATGCCACAAGCGAAGGTAATTCCACCGACTGTTTCTGCGAGACGCTCACACGTGTCTTAGATTAGTCATCGCCTCTGCTCTCTCATTTGCTCACGTGATCTGCTCAGGCTGTTCCAGCAGCTTTCTTACGCTCTCCAACTGAGCAGTGAGGCCATGTATAGGGACACAGAATGCAGCGAGGTGCTATTTATGTTGCACGTCTAAGAATAGTTGCCCTGCCAACAAGACAAGCGCACGACTGCTGTTGAGTCGTGCAGGCTAAATCAAATGTGCAGTTAAATACTTGTTGCTTTAACTGAATATGGAAAACTTTACCTCAAATGTAGTGGATCAGCCAAGACCTGTTAGGTGTCTAAAGTTTGCCTCTTTAGTTTTAGCATTGGAGCTACGAGGCTAATGAAGCTTGTGCTAATAGGCATTGTGCAGACCACCCAGCTAAATCAATGTCAGGTAGTTAATGTCAAATATTACATAAATAATCTAAAAATGATGGATTTCTGTATGACGTTAACTTTAAGCATAGACTGAAGTCCAGACAAACTTCAGGCATCAGTGGCTACTAACACTGCTTTTAGCCATGCTAATGTACCTAATTGTCCATGTTCACAGATAATAATGTGTCATATGGTGTCAGAAGCCACAGTTTAAGGCAAGTATCTGATGATATAGGCATGCAGTTTTGCACGATGCTAGTTAGCATATGCAACCTCTCAGTTCTTTTTTCCAACTTAGCTACGATTTTAAGCATGTTGTGAAGGCAACAGATGGTTTTTCCTGCTCCTCATAAAGCTCAGCTCTGCTGCTGGTGGTTTGCTACACGTCTCGGCCTTTTTGAAGTTGGGTTTCATGTGAACGGAGGTATTTGAAGGGAGGGAGGGGAGAAAAATCCCCTGTGTGTACTCCATGGCCCCAAATCAACCCCCCTGATACCCCTCCCTTTCCTCGTGTCTCGGCTGCAGAGATCTTTGTCTGCGTCGGCTGGCCTGGATAAGCGCTCTTTTCTTTCTACTGAGACGGAGAGAGCGTGGAAAGGCCACTTTAAAAACGGTCCTTCTCACCACTCAGCACTTCTGCGGCGATTGCCCGTGGTTTCCGTGGGAACCAAACCACAGTCCCGGTCTGTCTCCACTCTCATAGCCACAGAGACTACGCACACAGCTCCCCCCGCCCCCTACACACACGCCCTCTTTTCTGCGTTCTGGCTGGCACTACTAAGCCACCTCCAGGAAGTCGTCTTCTGCCTGATAAAACTTTCCATTGCCAGACTGCGCAAGATTAGTGGATTCCTGCTTTTTTTCCTCGCTGCTTAGGTAAGCTGATTTCAGATCAGTTATAGTTTGGCAAAAATAAAACCTTTTGCTTTTCCAACATACCCCAGATTTGGTCAGCCACAAAGCTTTGGTGCTTCTTGCTTCTTGCTTCAACCCTTGTCGTTGGGCACCAGAGTAGCGAAACTGTGGCCCTATCGATCCCTGACGATGCATGATGAGGGGTGCAAGAGAGCATAATTTTGGCCAGCTTTTAGCTGATGTATCAGAATTAGCAGTTAGTGTCCTCCTCCAAGCGTGTTAGGCTGATGAAGCACATGCTAGCCTTCCCCCTCCCAGCTATTGTGCAATAGTGGTAAACCTAGCTAGGATAAAGAAAGCGACAAGTTATTGTACACTGACAAACTGTTACCTGTAAACATGGACAAAAGGATGTTGGCAAAGGTAAAAATGGTATCTATCTCAAAGTCTGATTTATTTTTAGTTTTTTTTTTTTTTCTTTGCTTCGTACTTTTGTCCTCGTTTATAGAGAACAGTTAGCAATGCCCCAGTCACGAATTATGAGAGTTTTTCATTTGATGCTTATTAGCCTTTTTAAGTTCGAAGCTCACACTGTGTGGGGTAAACGAACACAAAGTACTGTTTATTCACAAAACTTTTGCTTCTTCATGGGCCAAACCTGCATTTTTCCCTGAAGTTGTCTATCCAAATAATAATAATTTAACCAAATAAAGTTCTTCATCAAAAGTAAGAAGCATCTGGCTATTTAGCACAATGAGTCATATATAAATATACTGTGACATTTTAGTAGAGGTGTAGCAGCAGCATTCAAATGCAGTGCGAGTGCATGCCTCGCCTTATTTACCTTGTAAAGCTACAGCACAGAATGGGCAAACAAAAAACAAATTCATTTGTTTTGAATCTGCTGAATACGAATATGCATCCCTAATAACAGTGTTGTTTGTATGTATGTAACAAGTCTGTTTCAGAACACA